GGTCAATAAACAAAATGGCACAGTTCCGATATTACCAAACCACACGGCATGCCATTAATTCAAGTCCATTGAAGTCCCAAGGTCAGCAGAGCGTGGCATGAACAACGACATGACTATATGCAGGGGTCAAACATGCCATAAGCTGGAGACCGTTCCCCAAGTCTTCTGCTTATACACAGGGAGTAAACCACATCCCTAAGTCAGCTACTCAGCTGCTCACAGTAGATTCCACCATGGAGTTGATTACCAATCTCATCATGGGGAATACTAACTACATCCAGCTGCCCAGCCACTCAACCAGGCCTAGCCAAGTTGACACACAAACTTAACTACCACAGGCAGTCACAAAGACTATAGCCGAAGAACTGTATTAAGTAATTCACTGCATCACAATCAGTGACTCATGTAAACATTACCCTCAGTGAAAAAAGCAGACACGAAAGAATACATACTATACAATTCCATTTATGTAATATTCTGTAGTAGACAAAACTAATCTATGGTGAAAATGACCAAAATACCATTTGCCTTTGGAGATGCAGGTATTGGTTGAAAAGGGACATGATTAAACTTTCTGGGGAGATGGAAATGTTCTCTGTCACTATAGAAATGTAGGTCTGTAGATTATAAAGGGGCACCCATTTGTCAAAAATTGTGCAGTTCAGATTTGTATATGTCATTGTATGTAAATTTTACATTAGAAAATGATTTAAAATAATTATAATTAACTAATAATGGAGTGATGGGGTAGAATATTGTTGCAGTTATTGATACATGATATGATACTGATAATAGTTGAACCTGGAAAGTGGGTACACATTGACTGGACTAGTGTATCATATTGTGTCTAATACTTTACAAATAGAAAAACATTACAGGAACATTTTTGTAGAAAGAAGTTTTTTGAGTTTCAAATATTTTCTTAGGATGGATTCTTAGAGAATTACCAGCTCTTAAGTTACATAAGCATCTTTAAGACTTTTGATTTAATTGGCTACACTAGTTTATACTCCCAGCCCGACTGTAGGAGAATATATACATATCATATACCATTCTAGCTCACTTTTTTCTAATTTTTTTTATATAATTACTAAAGAAATCATTATTCTCACAATACCTAGATACTAGTAAGATTTTAGTAACCAAGGTATTAATTAATTAATTAATTTTTCCCATGACATTAGTTCCACCTATCAGAAATGAATTCCCTAGGTTTTGGTTTCTGTTCTTTTTTTTTTTTTTTAATGGTGGCCCAATAAGTAGTCTCCAGTTTACAGTGTATGTCCATGGTGGCAAACTGTGCTTTGACCGTCTTGTGTTTTTTTTAGTATCTCATTGTTAGTAATACACACTACATACAGTGTTACCACACATGATTTGCTGATGTTGTCATTTGTTCACTAGCAGATATTCAAAGATAAGATCTATAAAGATACTACTAATAAAAGGCAGTAATAATGAAAACTTTTTTAAAAATACTCAACTTACATCAGAACCAATTTACGATGGAATCATCAGAACAGAACCCCATTATAAGTCAGGGACTACTTGTACTATAAGATATAAGAAAGGACCAAGGGTAAGCCTGGTGTGGCCCTTTGACTGCATTCATGGCTGGATATATTTTCTAACCTGCTAACCATTTGAAAGAGAGACTGACACACTTCTTCAGCTTGAGGGACTGACCATGTGGTTGAACATCCAGGGCGTGATTAAGGTCCTATCAGTAATGATAGATGAATGCTTGTTAAATATCAACAATGCTCCACTGTCATCATTTTGGAGTTTTTCGTTTTCTTGGAGTTTCTTCTAAACGTGATTAGAAACTTTGACATTGTCAGATTATTCTAAATTCAGGTTCTTTGGTTTCTCGTCCCAGGTTCACTGCACCTCAGGCAGAACTCTATGACGCTGTTCTGGAGATCCAGAAAGCTTGTCTGACCCTCTGCTTCCCTGGGTCGAGCTTGGAGAACATCTACAGCATGATGCTGACACAGATAGGCCAGAAGCTTAAAGAGCTGGGCATCATGAAGAGCAATAAGGAAAATGATGCCTTCAAGGTACTTGTCTTGACCCATTTTCTAGAATGGCTACCATCCTGCTTAGGTTTTACCCTGTATAAGGCTAAGAAGATTTACAAGTAGTCTTTGTGACGCTTCATCTCGAAGAGGCTGAGATTCAGAGCCCACTCAGGAGCAACTTAGTAAATTTCATCAATTCCAACTCACGGTGGTCCATGGCTATCAGTACAGGTAGTCTCTGGATTATGAGCAAATTCCATCCCTAAGTCTGTCTTTAAGTTGAATTTATATGTAAGTTGGAACAGTTAGGTATGCTTCATATCTAATGTCACTTAATCAGTTGCTTGTCTTACTGAGTGCTTTCTATGCAGAGAAACCATTAAAGAATCACTTCTAAATACACTGAAACATATTTAATAATATAGTCATAATAATCACGTTTTGATGCACTTCTCAAAATGACGTTCATTTGTTATTATGAACCATTGTACCTAGATTTTTAAAAAAATAATTGCCTTTGTAGGGCTTGGTTCGTAACTGCAGGTTGTACGTGACTCAGACGTCTGTAACCCAGGCACTGCCTGTATACAGCTGTGCTCCGTTTGGTGTTCAGGGGCTGATTTTTCAGAAGTAGATTGCCAGGCCTTTCTTCCAGAATGGGTGAACTCAGAACCTCCAACGTTTCTGTTAGCGGCCAAGCCTTAACCTTTCGCGCCACCCAGGGACTCGCGAGTCAAGCCTCCATAGGTTCAGACAAAGGGTGTCAGTACTTATTTCTCCCAGAAGATGGCAGCACATTCTGATTCATTGCAGGAAGCATAACAGCTGGCTCCATCATCAGAAAATGTACAATGAAGTCTGGTGCAGAAAGGCTGGAAAAGACAGAAAAGGAGGCGAGGTGAACTCTTAACCTTCTCTGGTGATTCTGAGAAGCAAGCAGTTGGAAAGGGAGGGTGTTTGTTACTGAACGTTAACAGTGTGCCCTAGGACCACGTCTTTAACTGAATTTTGTATCCAAACTGGAACCAGTGAGTGTTCAGTAAAAATGGAAAGCCTCTGCTTGAAAGAAAGATGCTGGGTGCTCACACCTCACAGACCACCAGTCATCTCCCACCTCCAAGTGTAGGCTGCCAGGACCTCTTTATCGATAGAAAAAAAGCTATAAATTACCTCCTGCTGACTAAAGTGAATCTTTAATTAACTGATAGAAATATCCATGCTGGTGATGTTCAGTAATTACTCTGTTATTTGATTTCTCATGCCTACGCCACAAACTACTGGGTGACACTTCAGGTCTCCAGAGCGGGCGTCCTGAGAGGGCTGTGTGAGAGCTAACATAGTCATCACCCCTCAGAATGGAGAGAGAGGTTCACTTGCCTTAGTCAGTCCTGGAGTTGCCCAAGTCAGCATGTTAGTGCGTTGACTAGAGGGAGTGGAGGTGAGTTAGAATGCTACGGGCAGACTTGCATACAAGAGACGGCAGCTTATCAGGTGTCTGAAGCATTAGCCTAAGAATGGGTTAAATGTGTGTGGCAGAACCATGGGGGAAGTATTAACACATCTCAGTAGTTTATAAATTTCCAACTTTCCCTTTAACAATCATTGCTCTGGTGACACTGTCTGTGGTCAACATCTTTTCCAGGCTGCTCGAAAATACTGCCCTCACCACGTTGGCCATTACCTCGGGATGGATGTCCATGACACTCCGGACATGCCCCGTTCCCTCCCTCTGCAGCCTGGCATGGTAATCACAATTGAGCCAGGTAAGGGGGTGTGCTAGTAGTCTTTGACCCCTAGTGACAGAGACCAATAATGTGAGTTAGAAAGGTAGACATTGTTTATTTTTACCTGAACTAACATAATTAAACTAGAAGAAACAGGACAATGAGTCTCTTCATTCTTGTAGGGGACTTTATTTATTTGAGATTTATCTTTGGCTTTCTCATTTAACATCACACAATTTGTTTAATTTGACTTCTATCAACAACAGATGGGGAATACTTTCCATTAGTAGATATTAAGAAATAAACCTTCTTTAAATCTGCCTCTGCTGGGGCTGATTTGCACAAGTCTCCCATTTAATAGTGGCTCAGGAGCTCTGGTGGCATAGTGCCTAAGGCACTTGACTGCTAACCAGAAGGCTGGCAGTTCAAACCCACCAGCCACTCCTGAGAAGGAAGATGGGGCAATCTACTTCCGTAGTGATACTGCCTCAGAAACCCAAAGAGGGGTCGCTATGAGTCGGGTCCGACTTGACAGCACACAACAACAACTATGGCTGTTCCAGTTTCCACAGCACCCGGGGCTTCCGTGCAGAGACACACCAGGCAGTCCACAGTCTCAGCTGCAGGCTGTGTGGGACAGCCCAGCACTGTCCCACTGCTTAGTGCCTCAGAGAAAGGGAACAGTCTAGTAGGTTACCTGACGTGGGTGCTGATGGCTGTTAGGCAGAGATGTGGTGGCTGCAACGGAATGTGAAGATTGATGGCACAAGAATTGATTTTTAAATGCTAATACTCTTGTCATGAAAACGGATCTTGATCTTAGATTCAAGTGTTTTAATCTCTAAATTATATAAACCACATATGGGAAACATCTTTGTTACCACCCTTTGAGGCTAGTCATGTAGCTGTCTGTGGTCTTAGCATTTAGTCCTGTCCAGCTGGTGCATGGGTGTTTCCTTAGGCTTTAACGACATCTTCCTTTGCTGGTCTTTCTCTTTTTGTCACAGAGCAATAGCTGAGTATAGAGGAGGAAACTTACAGTTTGTTTCATATGAAAAGACCTGGTCTCTGTCTGACATTATGTTTATAGAAAGGGTACCTTGAGCTCTTAGATTTTTCCAAATGTTCATTAAAGTCTTCCTATTTCTCTCTTACTTTCTTTCATGCATGTACATTTATAGCTTATTTGAGAAAAAATTGTTGATGACTTCTTTCCTCAACTTCTGGTTAGTTAGCCTAACAGTCTCTAAGTGTTTAATACATTGTAAAATACCTGTATCTTTATTTTAGCAAAATGCCCTTTTTCCAGGAGAAATTGGACAGAGGAAGTATGCATTTATGTAACCTGCTAATTCCCAGCGTATGCTGGCATCCTCATAAGCTAAGCAAGTTTGGTGGCTGCTTGAGTCACTGAAATACGACAGAAGCAGGATCAACATTATCACAGCTGGAGGGAGCCCATACTCTAATGTAGAAAATAATTACAATATTCCTAATAATAGTAGTCAAAACTGACTTATTACCAGGCACTTTTGTTTACATGTTATCTCATTGAATCCTCACAGCTCTACTAGGTAGATACCATTAATACGCTTGTTTTACAGATGAAGGAATCAGGATGCAGAGAGGTTGACTATCTTGCCCCAAACCACCCACCTACTGTCTTCGACTCTTTTCTTTACCTCCCAGGTATTTATATTCCCGAGGATGACAGAGATGCCCCCGAGAGGTTTCGTGGTCTTGGGGTACGAATCGAGGATGATGTAGTGGTGACTCAGGACTCACCCCTCATCCTTTCTGCAGACTGTCCCAAAGAGATGAGTGACATCGAACAGATCTGCAGCAGGACCTCCTGACGCTCGTCACAGCCCTCGTGCATCTCAGGTTCTTCACACAGGGTGTCTGCTGGCACGCATGCCCGTGTGCTTTCTGAGTGTTGCTGCGTGTGCACTGATGAACGTCACCCACTTGGGAGTGCGGTGGCCGTATGAGTGTATGTGATTGTGTAGGGGTGGTTATTTTTGTTGTTTAAAGTCAATGGAAATCTGGAACGTTGAATTTTTCAACTGTATGTTAACTTCAGCTTCAGCAACATTAATTGTGGAGATTTATGACCTGGACAAGTTTCATTTGTAAATGTGAAGAAAGGTCATGGTTACATATGCCCGTACATCCTAGTGAACACATTTAAATATGCAGAAAAATCCTCTTCTCCTCTCCATGTCCCTCCCTTCTTGCTCTTTTGCTGAGATCCACCTAATGTAAGATCTTGTGTGGTGATTGGGTTTTGAGCTAACCGGCAAGGTCTCTACCTACACTAATAGCCTCCCCTCAGTGGTTGTGGGCGGCTGTAACTCCTGTCCACCTAGTCTAGACCCTGCAAGCCTACTGGAGCCACAGCAGCCCTCATGAGCACTGGTGTCTTGCCTGCCGCCTACCCTTCAGCCGTAGTCCACATTCCAGTGACACTAGCAGTTGAACAAAACCATTTTGAGCCTTTCTTACCATTTGTTTGCCTGTTGTTATTGTTGTTGTTGTTATGTACCATCAAGTCAGACCCAACTCATAGCAATCCCTCCTTGGGTTTCTGAGGCAGAATCACTATGGAAGTAGATTGCCCAACCTTCCTTTTGAGGAGTGGCTGGTAGATTTGAACTGCCAGCCTTCTGGTTAGCAGTCAAGTACCTTAGGCACTACGTTACCAGAGCTCCTTTTGTTTACCGAGGACCTGGAAAGTATATTTAGGTTCTGTTGAGGAAGAAAATTTAGAGAGTGAAAAGTATGTACTGCCTCCGCTGCAGATCCAGACGTCCATCTGTCTGTTCTCCTGTAAAGATGAGTCCTTTCCCAGACATCACTTCTTTTGTGGGTTCTTCATGCACTGCCCCTCCTGGCACAGCCTGGATTCTGCCCAGCCTGCAAAAGATCTTCTCCTTACCCCGGGAAGGTCAGAGCAGTGGTACCAGTGTTCCGAGAGATACTGACAGCATTCTGGGATTTCCTCTACTGTTGCTGAGAAGAAAATGCAGACTCCTGCAAGTACGTGGAAGCATCTTACGACCCTTACCGCTCTCTGGTGTTAGCGCTGGAAGGGCCGGGAGCCATAGTTCTGTACACACAGCATTGGATGCAGTTGTACAGACACTCAGTGTGTGAAGGGAACAGGGCTGGATGACTGTAAACAGGGTCCTTCAGGAGGTTCAGTCAGATGGGAAGCCTTTGAGAACTAGTGTGTTCACCTCTTTTGTTGTTGTTTTTGAACTTCTTGTTGTGATTTTAGTGAAAGTTTACCCAGCAAATTGCTTTTCCATTCAAACAGTTCCTCCTCGTTTTGATTTGTCACATTGATTGCATTCCCCACAGTGTAAGAGCTCTCTTTCCACTTCCTTCCTGTGTTTCCTGTTTTCATTTATCCTTCTTCCCTATCCCTTCCTGCCTTCTAAGCTTTGTCCCTGGGCAGATGCTGCCTCTCAGTCTTGTCTGGTTGATTGTTCTGAGAAGTGCTCCCTCCCTGGTGGTGTTCACCTCATAGGCCTAGCTGCCTTTGGCTGAAAGTTGAGCCATGGGAGTGAGTTCAGTTCCAGGCTTGAAGGGTCTAAGGGTCTCGGGCGTTCCGTAGTCTGTATCAGACCAGTAAACCCGGGCTTTTTTTTATCATTCTGAGTTTTGTTCCACATTTTTCTCCCACTCAATCCAGGACCACCTCCTGTGATCCCTTTCAGAGCAGTCAGCAGTTTTAACTGGGCACCACCTAGTTCTGGTCTCAGGGTTGTGGAGGCTGGGGTTTGCATGGCCCATTAGTCCTTTGGACTGATTGTTCCATGCATTTTTTTATTTTCTTCACTCTTCTTTGCTCCAGGCAGGGAGAGACCAATAGTTGCACTTAGATGGCTGGTCACAGTCTTTCAAAACCCCAGTCACTACTCGCCAAAGCAGGATGTGAAACATTGTCTTTGTGGACTGTGTTGTGCCAGTTGACCTTGATGGCCAGTGTACCTATGGCCCTGACTTACTCCCTCAAGGTATTTGGTTACAGCTGAGACATTTTCATACCTTTACCTCCTGCATGCTCTGCTACATTCATGGATGTACTTGCAGCACATATAAATACATATGCAGAAATGCCTTCTGTCAGACCGATACACGTTCATGGGGTGTGTCACCTCTTTAGACCTGGACATGAACCCAATATTGTAAAGCCTACTGAGTCATACAGCAAAGATTTTTTTCTTTTTTTTAGGGGAGCATAAGCTAGTTGATTAACACTCTGTGCAGCACTGGAAGTTTGTCCATTTTATCAGGA